CCAGTCCTCCACCCACAGGCTCAGTCACCTAGGCAACCCCTTCCTGGACATCTTACTCATGAACTCTTTACCCTGCCAAACATCCTCTTTGTGGCTTCCTAATATCCTGCCTATACCAACACCTGGTGCACAAACGACTCATTTTGCCCCTCCCCATATCCTGACTATATAAGCTAGCCTGAGAAAAGTAAAGTTTGCCACTTGATCAGAATCCTTTCTTGTGGTCGTTCTTTCTGTGTCTCTTGTCCCCATTCCCTATCCCTGACTCTCTTGCCCCAGGTTGATGTCCTTTAGGTCGTGACAGTTAAGAATGTGTTTGTACAGATTTGTGTTTTCTTTCCTAGATTTCTTTATCATGCAATATAACATCAATTAAGAGATTATCAGTGGGTCCTGGAGAGATGGCTCAGACGTTAAGAGCACTGCTTGCTCTAGCAGAGGTCCTGAGTTCAATTCCCAGTGACCACATAGTGGTTTACAACCATCTATAATGAGGCCTGGTGCCCTCTTCTGGCATGCAGGCAGAACACTGTATACATAATAAATAAAAATAAATCTTTTTTAAAAAGAGATTATCTAGTTCCATCCATTTACATGTAAATTTCAAAATTCCATTGTTTTCCCCCCCGCTGAGCAGTACTCCATTGTGTAAATGTACCACATTTTCTCCATTCATTCCTCAGCTGAGGGGCATCTAGGTTGCTTCCAGTTTCTGGCTATTACAAATAATGCTGCTATAAAACACGGTTGAACAGATGTCCTTGTTGTATGAATGTGCATCTTTTGGATATATGCCTAAGAATGGAATTGCTGGATCTAGAAACCCACAGAAACAGCTGACCTGAACAAGGGGTTGCTCATGGACCCCAGACTGATAGCTGGGAAACCAGCATAGGATTATTCCAGACCCCCTGAAGGAGGAAGTTAGTTTGGAGGTCTGGACAATCCATGGGGCCACTGATAGTGGATCAGTATTTACCCCTAGTACACAAATAAACTTTGGGAGCCCTTTCCACATAGAAGGATACTCCCTCAGACTAGACACACTGGGGAGGGTCTAGGCCCCACTCCAAATGATATGACAGACTTTGAAGATCCTTCATGGAAGGCCTCACCCTTCCTGGGGAGCAGAAAGGAGTTGGGATGGGGGTTCAGTGGGAGGCAGGGGAGGAGAGTAGGGAGAAGGAACTGAGACCGACATGTAAAAGAAGCTTGTTTCTAATTTAAATGAAAAAATAAATTACAAAAAAGAAATATGGTTCTTTAAACTTCCTGTTGCATTTTGGGGAATGATGAACTACCCAGAGTAATTCCATTTTGTCCTAGTTTTAGCACAGCCAACTACACCCTAGCCCTGATAAGCACACTTTGCTGCTGAAAGTTCTCATGCAACTGTCCTTGCAGCTTTGAAAGACCTATTGTTTCACAACAACAAATTGCCTTTGGTGTGATGTAATTGTAATTTTAGGCTTTATAAACCCTACCGTACCTTACTTTGGGACCAAGAGTTCTTTGTTACAGGACTCTGCTAATGGTAACCAACTTAAATAACTTTTATTTGCCCCCCCAAAAAAGAGAGAGAGATTATTAGTGGTTATCATATTTAAATTTTGAGATACCAAAAGAATGTCCCTCAGGGGACATTGCCATCTATTCTAAAATTTATAATGCATTTGCAGTATTAGTATGAGGGAAAGTTTGTTGGGCTGCCTGGGCCCCAGTCAGGTTCCATAGTCAACAAACAAATCTGATATTTCAACTAATGGCTGCCATTCTTAACTAACCAGCCTTGGTTACTCCAACATACAGAGCAAGGACACAGATCCATAAGGAGGGTCTGCATTCTTTTTTTTTTTTTAATGATTTGTTTATTTTATGTACATTGTTGTTTTATCTGTGTTTATATTTGTGTGAGAGTACTGGATCCCCTAGAGGTAGAACTATAGGCCGTTGTAAACTGCCATGTGAGTGAGGGGCTGCATTCTTTTCCAACCTGAAAAGGTTATGAAAGAAAAAGATTTCTGGGTACTTCTTCCTTTATAAGATTGTGTATTTTTTTTCCATTATGGGGGCTCTATTCCTTGTGAAAAATACTAGCTAGGCAAGGAGTTAGATATAAGGTAACCAGGGAATCTGTAACTGTGTATATGTAACTGAATATGGGTCTCCTGATATTCAGAAACACCCTTTAAATAAAGTTACACTTCTCTGAGCTGGAGTTACACTGTTTCCACTGTATCAGATGCTAGAAGGCCAATGCACTTTCCCAACTGCCCACACATATCTAAGGAATGAAGCCCTGCATCCTCAAAAGACCCCGACATCATTTCAACACCACATGCATTGCGATTTTTATTCTCAGCCTATTGTGGGCTTTTCTAGAGGATTGTGGGAAGAAATAATGTAGCCAGACTCAGTACACCAGGACTCAGAAGAGAAAATGTTTTCTTTATTCTATGACTATGTCATCTATCTCATAAATATTCATGAAAATTTCTTTAAATTCTGCAATATAGAACCTATTAGGCTATTATTCTTCCTTTGGGATAGCCCATTTAATTTTTCTTTGGATTGTGTGCTTTGTTTTGGTAAATAAACTTCTGCTTAACTATTGACTGAATTCTCCTTCCTTCCTTCCTTCCTTCCTTCCTTCCTTCCTTCTTTCCTTCGTTCGTTCATTCATTTGTTCCTTCCTTCCTAGAAAACAAGAATGGAGACCCAGTAGCTAAACTATTTTCCACTCTCAGACAAAAATGACTATAGAACCACTTGACCCAAGACCTTAATTTCCTAAAACATATTCCCAAATTTTGCCCATAATATTTATGTTTTGCTTTCCTCCTTTGCTATACCATGCTAAATAAAAACTGGCTTTGATTTAACCTTCTGTTAGGTAGCTTCCAAGCATGTTCTTATCAAGCAAGGCAGCTAGAAAAAAATCACATTCATATTTATGTAGGTTTTCTATTATAGACATTCTATTGGCATGGTTCTACTTATTCAATGTATCTCTTGCACTTCTTTTTTTTTTTTTAAGTAAGTAGACAGAAATTGTAGGGAAACATTTTCAGCGAGCTAAGTCAGTCTACAGTATTACTTTTGCAGAGGGCATCACAATTTGACCTCATTCTGACTTGGTTCAGCTGGAAGATCTGGTGTTTTTAAAGCCCTACAAGACAGTCATTCACATGACCAACTTAAATCACTTAAAAAGAGGCATACTCCAATAGCTGCCGAACCCCAATAAATTACTGTGTTCACCTGTCCAGGATGAACCCCTTTCTTCAAAAAAGTAAGATGCAAGCCTCAATCACTAGTCATATGTTTTTTTCAATGTTTTTCTATTCTAAACAAACCCATGATGTAACCTTAGGGTAAGTCATTGCAACCTTAATTAATGAATAGTATAGCTAATGGATAATGAATAGCATTTTTCTGCTCTAGTCACAAACTACTTATATTTTCCATAAGTTTGACCCACCAATTCCTACCAGAAACCAAGTAGATGTTCCATTGAACTTATCTTCTTAAAGTCTGGACTACATACTTGGGTTTAGAAATATTTACATAAATATAGCTTTTGAAAAATGCATACAGTGGATCTTTGGTTCTCAGTTGGTTTGTATATGTCTCAAACTTATTAGGTAGAAAGCAATAGAAGTTTCAGAACACTTTGTGGTAATGCTATTACTAATTTCTATAGTCATAGGCAGTTAAATGGTGTTTTGAATATAGATGAACAACACTAGATATCACAGACAATCATAAGAGGGCACCAGCTCTCATTACGGATGGTTGTGAGCCATCATATGATTGCTGGGAATTCAATTCAGGTCCTCTGGAAGAGCAGCCAGTGAGTGCTCTTAAGCTCCGAGCCATCTCTCCAGCCTCTGTTTATATATTTTTTTAAAAAGGCTTTTGTTCCAAGTCATTATTTGAGAAAAAAATTTAAAACCATAGTTGTTTTGACTAATGCATGAGTCAACTTTTACAAGTTCAGTTTTATTTTATAGAGCCTGGGAATATCTTGAAAAGGTACAATACAATGCCACTGTTCATTTCCTAACGAAGGGAGTCTGTCTTTGGCGCTTTTCCTTTCCTGCTGAACCCTGGACTCCAGCTGTGCTCCTCTATCTGGTCCTTCAGCAAGATTCAATACTTGCTGGTGCGCTGGCGTTAGCCATAAGAAAGGTGACTACCTAAGAGGGCATCACATCTTGGACTTCACCTAAACCTACCCACTCCATACCTCAATCCAAAAAAAAAAAAAAAGAGAGAGAGAGAGAAAAGGGCAACAAATTATTTCCAGTCACCGTCCTTCTGGCCCAAAGCAAAGACCACTGAGCTTTGCTTTTATGGCAGTAGGAGCAATTAAGGTCTGAACAGGTTAGCTGAACACTACCAGGTCTGTTTTCCACTGGTCCTCTTTTGCCTAGACTTCTGGGTCCCACTCTCCAAGTAATTAAGGAACCAGCTCAGCCTAGCCTGAAGAGAGCAAGAGACAAACATGAAAGACCTCTGGCAGCACTATGGGACCTAATCAGTAATGCTTCTTTTAGTTTACAGGAATTATGGGTCGTCTAGAGACCTGTGAACAAGGAAGCCACTTTGGGAGACTGCTGCAAGAATTAACGACCTCTCAGAAACGCCATATAAGCTTCTGCATCTGCCACCCTTGCCAAGATATAAAAGGAAAAAGTCCTCCATTTTTCCATCCTCCCCGCTTGTTGCAGTGGCGCTCTTTCCCTGCCAGTGTCTCCCAAGTAAAAGGCGGCAGCAGACCGAGATTTTGCGTGGACTCAAAACTCTGTCAAGACCCTCGCCACCTCCTCCTCCATCTTCCGGAGCTGCAGGTGAGCGCCATGCTCCAGGTCCTCGCCCGCTTTCCCTGCCACGCGGTCGGCGGCTTCGAGGCCGGCGGAAACTACAACTCCCAGGATCCTCTGCGGGGCGGGAGGAAGGCGGGGAGCGTACAAAGCGGCGCTGGAAGCTAGCGGCGGCGAGGCCGCGCTTGAGGTCTAGCGGCTCGGCGTCGTCCCCGCGGCCTGAGGCGTCATCTGCGTGGGCGCTCACGCAGGGCGGGTCGGGCGGCGCAGGGCGAGAGGGAAGTCGTGGCGGCGGCGTCGGGAACAGCAGCAGTGGCGGGAG